ACTAAGCCTTGTCTGAAGAGGCTGTATAAAGTGCTGCCACAAAGGATTTCTTCTTTCAGCCCTTTCTTAAAAAAATTAAAATAAATAAATTCATTACTTATTTTATCTAGTGCTAAATGTTCTTTTTTTATTTGTATATTAATAAGATTAATATATTTTGTTACATAAAATGACTATGTTCCCAGCTTTTTTTTGATGCAAAAACAGCAACACAGAGAAAAAAAGGAGACACACATCCATCTTGCTATCCTTATGAGGACTTCACACACAAAGTGCTCACAGCTTCTCTGCCTCATTCTGCTGCTCCCGTTTTTAACACCAGGCAAAAAATGCATTTAAAACAGCTGACGTTAACTTTAGATCACAGTTTGAAATGCTCCTGCATTTTTAAAAAGAAAAACAACACGGACACGCTGATTATAGTGCGGGGCGAAAGTGAAAGTAACATGGTGCTGAGCACCCGTTCGGTAAAGAAACTTAAACACAGCTGTTCTTTGTCCCCTCATATTCCGACACAGAGGGTAGAAACAGCTAAATTAGACAGTTAAAACACWTTTACAGTTCATAACTCACCCTTGTTGTTGTAACATTCATCCTGTGTTGTCCACAAGCACTTTCCGCCCTGTTGTGGGTCCATTTCCTTGAAAAGTGAAACTTAACCAGGCACTTTGAAGAAGCTCTGACGCTGGTAATCTATGTAGATAATAATGTGGGTTTACACACCCCAGAACTGAACATTTTGACATCTGAACTTGCATATTCGGCATGACGCTATGAACTACAAAATCACACAGCAAGGAAAAAAAATGGCGGACTATGAAATCCAGTTGGCAGGAAGTACATTACCATAAATGGTAGTTCCGAAGAAAATAGTGTGACGAAATAAACAATGAAACGAAATAAGCAACAGCAGATTTTGAACAAACTGAAAATTTGACCCATAAAAATATAAAAATACCTTTGCAGTAACTGGACAGAATAAATTAAAGTTTTCTATACTCCTAGACACTATAGTTGCACAAAAAATAGTTTATAAATGCAAAAAAAAAGTGCATTTAGCATGATACAGTGTCTCCTTTTAAAACATCCCTAACCAGTCTGAAAAAAAGATAGCTAAAAATCAATATTTTTTTACAGACTGGTTAGGGATGTTTTGACCAAGCCATATTGTTACACATTCTTTCACATGTATGACGTTCAAATTTCGTGCAGCTAGCGCTTTCCTTTCTCATGTTATGACTAAAATTAATCTAAAAAAACCTGTTGCTTCCTGCCTGACTCGACCAAGCTGCTCCCTGCTGCCTCCAGCCTCATACCCCACCGTCAATCCGACCAATCACATCTCTTGGGCCGTCTCCGCCCACATTAAGACCTCTGCCAGTGACCATTTGGGCCGTCTCCGCCCACATTAAGACCTCTGCCAGTGACCATTTGGGCCGTCTCCGCCCACATTACGACCTCTGCCAGTGATGATTTGGGCCGTCTCCGCCCACAGGACAACATGTTCTGCAGAGACCCCTACTTGTGTCGTTTTGCTCCTCAGCATGGCTTCCTAAAAACACTGCAGGATTTCTCAAACATGATGAATGAGTCAGAGC